TCGGCCTCGTCAAACTTGAAAATATGACCGGGTCCCGTTGAGTGAGCTGCAAACTGGGAGTTGGCGTCTATCCTCCTCACCGCCGCTGCCTGCTCGGCCATTCGCGTCCGGTGACAACCGCGTGAACAGCGAGCTGCTCGAGTCATGGTCCTCAGGTCCCCAGTCCATCAACAAGCGCAATGATTTGGCGTGTCCACACTGCATACTGAGATATTGCCTGAGCAAGAGAATCAGTCACGTGGATAGAACCGGGCTCAGCAAAAATAACTCGGACGACAACGAGCATAATTGTCGCGCAATTACCAAGCCCGCATCCAACACGGACGAGGAAATCACGGCGATTAATGAGTCGAACGTGAAGTGTCAAGCCATTATTGCTCCAATTAAGACTCAAGCTGGGGCTACAGAACTGCGTACGCACGCAGGTGACCACTGTGAACTATAAAGACCGTACAATCTGTGCATGTCTCACCCCAATCTGCGCCTGTCTCGGATTAACCTACCATTACCTATGATTAAGGATTCCCGACGAAATCCGAAAGTCGGGAAAATAAAACTCTTGTTTCAGTAATACAGTTTGTTTGCCTTAACACAAGGGATTTTATAGGCTTCCTGAAGTTTGACGAAGTGTAACGTGCATCAAGATGGTTGCTCCGATTTCGACCGCGTTTGGGCTTGAATGTGGTTAAAATATTCCTTCGGCGTCGCTACACATCACCCTCAGTTTACCGTGCCATTCCGCTTCCAAGATTGCTTTCGTTTAGTCTTGAAGCCCTTGCCCGGCCCATCTGCTTCTGGGACTGCCCGAGAATCGGAATTAACCTTGCAGGGACTCGACATCAATCAAGCTGCGTCGTTCACTGGTTGGCTTCAGTCAGAGCTAAGGGCATGCACTAAGGCCAACGAATTTCAACGTCAAATATAAACGTGCCAATACGAGCGAACATGCGAGTCCCAGGAAGTTATTGATCGGTCGCTGGGACAATATGTTTTTTCGCCTGACGTTTCGACATCCTCGCGGATTCCTCATCAGAGACATAATCAAAGAACAGCAGCAGCGTTTTAGTCGTCTTCTTCTCAAATATACACTTGTCTGGAGACAAAGTTTGTGGCAATAATATGCAGTTTCCCGTAAACTCATGGTTTCGTTCAAAGTCAGCTCAACCTAATTTACCACAGCAAAGGCGTATCATGGTCGCATCTCCAGTTCTTCGA